CACCATAAGCCAGCCAATGTTTGGGCTTTATTTCTGTTGACACTCCTCAATGTGGAAGTATAGTTATCACCTCATTACAGTTATAAGATATCATTTCAGATCAGCATTATGCTGATGATATATGAGTTGTTCTCAGAGAAGCCTCATAAAGAGAGTTAAAATGTAGTGCCACCCTGGCTGGGCAGCTCAGTTCGTTGGAGCATCATCCTGTATACCAAAAGTTTGTGGTATACAGGATGATTCTGGTCAGGACACATATCTATGTTTCAGGTTTGATCCCCAATGAAGCTGTGTACTAGAGGCAACTTAGCAATGTTTCTCTCTCTCTCTTTATCTCTCTCTAAATATTAATAAACACTAATGACCTGGTGCATGGATTTGAGCACATTGAAAGGAAATTAATTAGTTCCTCTGAGGCAGGGACTAATGTAGGTGGTCCCAGGTGGTGGCCAGCAGTGTGTGACTGGGCAAGATGGGCTGGGCATCCCTGGAGCCAACCTCCCATGGTCCCTCCCTAGCCAGTCACACCTGGGCTGGTGCTGCGCTTTGAAGCACATTTGTGGAGTGAGTGAGGTCCCTCTGGCAGGTGAGATTCCTCGACCTGGCCTCTGGGGATCAAGCTGAAACCAGCTTTCTGACAACCCCCAAGGGGTCCCGATTGTAGAAAGAATCATGAGGAATCAGTATCACTCCTCTCTAGTTCCGGGGCTTGTCACCCAAGAACTGCTGCTGCCAAGTGACCACAATTCAGCAGCTCCTGTGTTGAGCGTCTGCCTCCTGATGGTCAATGCATGTCATAGTCACCAGCCGGTTGGACAGTCGCTTAGCCTTTTATAGATAGATATAGATAGATATAGATATAGATATGGATATGGATATGGATATGGATATAGATATAGATATAGATATAGATAGATATAGATATGGATATAGATATAGATATAGATATAGATATAGATATAGATATAGATATAGATATAGATATAGATATAGATATAGATATAGATATAGATATAGATATAGATATAGATAGATATAGATAGATCTTTGGGTGAAGATTTAAAAAAAAAAAAGGTAGTGTGCCATAGCTTGACATCATATTTAATGATTTAATGATGAAAGACAAGTTTGTTTGTTTTTTTCTCCTAAAGTCAAGAATAAGAAAAGAAAGTCCATTTCATCACTTCTATTCAACACTGTAGAAGAGATTCTAGAAATGGCAATTAGGCAAAAAGATAAAATGCATCCATATTGGAAAAGGAAGAAGTAAAAGTATCTATATTCATAGATGAGAAAATCCTAAAGAATCCACTAAAAACTATTAGAATTAATAAATGAGTTCAGCAAAGTTGGGGAAACAAAATCAATATAAAAAATCAATTATATTTCTATATGTTATCAATAAATAATTCAAAATTAAAGTTAAGAAAATAATATTTGCAATAAAATAATTATAAACAAATTTAACAGAAGATGTGCTGGAACAATTAAATATCTACATGCAAAAAAATATTTTTGGACCCCTAATTTACATAAAAAACAAAACTAATTCAAAATGGATCATATATCTAAATCTAAGAGCTAACACTATAAAACTTATAGAAGAAAATCTAGGAGTATAGCTCTATGACACTAGATTAGGCACTGGTTTTTTAGATATGACACAAAAACACAAGTGACAAAAGAAAAAATAGGTAAACTATATCACAAAACTTCAAATTACATCATCAATAAAATTTTTAAGTCCATAGGAAGAGAGAAAATATTTATAAATCATATTATCTGACAAAGGGCTGGTGTCCAGATTATGTAAGTAACTCTTTCAGACATAAACAAACATAAACAAACAACAATAAAAATGACAATTATTCAGTTGAGAGGAAAAAGTTTGGCTAAAGATTGGAATAGATATTTTCCCAAAGAAAACATAGAAGTGGCCAATAAGCACATGAAAAGATAGATAACATCATTAGTAATTAGGAAAGTAATAATTAAAACCACAATGAAATATCACTCTACACAACTAAGATAGATAAAATAAAATAAAAAGACAACAAGTGTTGGTGAGGATGTGGAGAAACTGGAACCCCCATGTATTGCTGGTTAGAATGTAAAATGGAGCAATCACTTTGGAAATTGATATGACAGTTCTTCAAAATGTTAAACATAGAGTTACCATATGACCCAGTATTTCCACTCTTATGTATATATCCAAGAGAAATGAAAACATACACCCACAAATATGTATAGCAGCATTATTTATAATAGCCTCAAAAGTGGAAACCATCCAAATGTCCATCAACTGATGAATATCTAAACACAATGAAATATATCCAAAATTCAGAACATTGCTTGGCGATAAAAAAAAAAAAAAAATGGAGTACTGATATAGCTATGACATGGATGAATCATGAACACATTTTACTAAGTGAAAGAAGCTAAATACTACATTTTGCATGGTTCCATTTATAATATGAAAGTCTAGAATAGGCAAATCTATAGAAGCAGAAAATAGAGTAGTTGCTTCCCAGGGCTTGCTTGGTAACTATTGGATCTAGGGTTTCTTTGGGGGAAGATAAAAATATTTTAAATATAAACTGTGGCAATGACTGCACAAATCTGTGAATGTACTGAAAATCATGAATTGTATACTTTAAATGGGTGAATTTTATGGTCTAAGAATTAAATCTCAATAAAGATGTGTGTTTTTTTTAAATGAACTTGATATTTTTAAAATTAAAAAAAAAAGCAATGGGCCTGGGAGATCAGGCAGAGCTGATTTTGATTACTAGTTCCCACACAATTAGCTATGTGATCTTCAGCAAGTTCCTAGACCACTCTGGATCTTAATAAATGGTAGGTTTTATAATTCAAAAGGAAAGAAAGTAATAAGAGGTGGGAAGGTGCAGCCTGAGGATTACAATGAAGGCATAGGTAATCCTCGGGGATGAAAGAAGCCCATCGAAGTTTGCCTGCTAGACTTTGATTCTTAGTCCCTGTCTATTCCCCAGAGGAAGGTAGTTTTTCTAAATATCCCACACATGATGGTGCCCCAGGGCCATGTCGTGTAGTGAGTACAGACCACAATTCTTCCTGTAGGCAAGAGCAGCATCCCTCCCATCAGGCAGCACTAGGTGCTCCTCCCTCCCTCATCTCCCATCTTTGGCTAGATTTATAACAAAAACAGAAGCATTTACACTATTAACAGAACTGGGGGAATACAGAAGGATGCTAACAGTCAAATTCCAGGCCATTTTAATCTTACACTGCTCATTTGGGAAGGTCATTCCCACCTCCACCCTGCCCTGGTGTTCATAAAGCATTGAATGCTTTGAGCTTTGCATTCTCAATGGTGTAATGAAAATAGATGTTGAATGCTAAAACATAAACATATGTATCATTTATAATGCATTCAGATGTTTTTCAATTATTCATGGTTCCTGAGAGTTACTTGACCTATCATGCATATATATCCAAGCAATGTTTGTATTAGAACCATGGCCTCAATGTATGCAATCCCCGCTCCTTGACATTCCTGTCTGTGGAATTAAAATTAAATGAGTCAGTGGTCAATAAAAGCTACATGTGATTTCCATAAAATTATCTATTGTATATTGCTCTGGGTTGGAAAAAGAAGCTGACAGGACACAGATTGCTTGCTTTCAGATGAGGGAGTGGTGATAATTACTCTTTCCTAAGAATGAATTCATTATTTCCCTGAATAACTGGTGGTCCTGGACTTAACTTGCTGTCAAGGAAAAGAAAAATAACTCAAAGGGCCACCCTCTTTCTGTTCAAAGTCCTATTTTCTTTAAAATAAAATTTAAAAAGCAAGTGTTCTGGGCTCAAAAACAAGACATTCTTCTGTTTTGATGCTTGAATAAATTTGCATGTTAACATGAATGGTTTCAACTTAAAGAATGTCAAATTAAATACAATTTGAATTCAAACCCAAGATGGAGAAAATATATGCACAAAACAACAGATTTTCAATCTTGTCGATTTTTTTTTCAGGAACCAGATTAGGAAAGACATAAACACACACACACACACACACACACACACACACACACACACACACACTTGGTTTCAAAGAAGGGTGGCACTCAGAGGAGACAGGCACTGCCAAAGTGGAGCCCCCACATTGTACCCCCACCTCACACACAACAGGAGTATTTACGAATCACAGCTCAAATTCTAAAGTTCTGTTTCAATGTCTGAATGCCACTATAAAACTCAGAAATACAACTCAGAAGCCATGGTCACCATCACATTTCTACTTTTGGAGGCCTACCCAGGTAAGATGAAATATAAGGAGCATTATATGAGTAGCTCAAGCAAATGCAGGCATGAATTTTCTTCTTTTGGCCCTAAGAGCCATTTCTTCCTTTAGCCTCATTGCACTTAAAGGCAGGATATAAAGTGGTTAGATTTATATACTGTTGGCAATGGGTCTGGGTTGAAATCCCAGATCCCCTCATTTACTTGCTGGGTAAACTCTGGCAAATGACTTAATCTGTGGACATACTTTTTTTTTTATTACTTTTCATTTACATACAATAATGCCAGACTCATAAATTTATTGTGACAATAAAATAGTAATATAAGGTGCTTAGTACAGTGCCTTGCTTAGTGCAAGCAAGCATTCAATAAAGGTTAGCTGTCATTGCTGGTTGGTATGGTTATTATTATTATATATTTAGGTGATGGAGTCCAGTGGAACCAGGCCTGACAACAGTTTCTTTCTTCTCCAACCTGCTCTCTGATATTGTCCAGATACCATCCAGGAAAGAGAGACAAATCAAGTTATGGCAAAAGCCTGCTACCTATGAGCTCTGACTGCAGGACAATCAGAGATGTCATGCTCTCATTTCATCCTGTCTCACCTCTGTCAACCCCTTCTCACAGCCCAGTCTCTGTCCATGAAGGAGTTCCCAATGAAATGACAACATGATCTTAATAAATAAAGAGGACAGTGAGAAAAAGCACCAGCATCTTACCTCATCCTCACTCTCAAGCATGTTGGTCCCCAATTTCTGGACAACAGTCTGGTCACTCTTCTTTAGCAATTTTTCTCGAACTTTGGTTTCATACTCAGGCCGGGAGTGTTCCTAAAACCCAAGAGTCAAAGAGTAGTTAGTAAACAGGCAGAATAGCAATCTTGGCCTGTGGGTTACAACCAGACACCACAAGTACAGTAAAGTCAGGACATAGCATCAGATTCTATTGGACATAAGCTGCCACATCACATATAATCATGAGGAGTCTAGACCAAGAACACAATATGGGAGAGAAAGGGGACACACAACACTTGTTACCACACTGAAAACCAAACCTGGGCACGTTCCTGGGGATGGCACCAGTGTTGAGAAAGGAGAAAGGAAGTGTTAACTTGGCAGCTGATACAAAGAAAAGCCACATGCTTTGCATAGCAGTTTGACCAAAGCCAGAGGGATTCATCTGTTTATCCCACCAACTATCTGCATACCTCAAACTAGCCAGATCCCAGCTGGAGAAACAGATGTGCCCCACATCTGGGAGTTAGGGCAACGACAAAACTTCCTCCCTGTTCTATTATTCTACAAGCTAAAATACCGACTAATAAAAATCAAAGTTAAAGGTGGCCATGGGGAATCCTAAAACTCACTTGCCTGGGCCTGTTTCCTGTACAGCCTAAATGATTAACTCATTGGCAAGTACACCAGTGCTCAAGATATATCACTGAGCCATTCAGCAATACAAATATGAATGGTGAATCACCAGTCATGGGAAAGCACACCTAACTAATCACGAAGACCATGGTCAAATCAAGTCAGATGCTAGAGCAGGAAGATGCATGACTGACCAAGGAAAATTTAACTGTGTACACCTGGACGCATTGGCAGGTCTTCCCCGAAACATCCAAGGACAAATAACTATAGGTGTGAGGACTTCATGTTCCTATATCATTTAAAAATAACTCCTAGGCAGGGATTACAACTCCATCAGAGATTCCAGAAGCCAACAAGCTAGGCTCCTGGCCTGTCTTTGGCTTTTCCAAGATGTGCCATGATGTTGGAGAGGAGAAACCATCTGTGTGACTAATAAACATAACCAATACAACAGGAGATGATGCTATGTAAGTGTTTTTATGGCACAACATCATCAACCAATCTCTTAGGAACAACCAAACCCAAGAGTCACCCCCTGGATCAGTGCAAACTTCTGCCTAATAGGCCTCCTTGTGGAACCAGCTGGATACCATAAAGACTTATTGAAAGATTTCTTTGGGTGGGAGACCTGCCAGACCCAAGAGACTTTTGCTCAAAAGTGGGGCAATCTTCAGCTCAGTGAGCCCCTCTTGTCCAATTTACTTCTTTCAGTCAGGTCCTGGGTGCTCCTAGGACATCTTAGCGTGTGTGGCCTCATGTGAATACTCCATCCTCACTGAAGGTAGAATCCATATATATATTTTCTCATTTGTCATGGAATCTATGATGCTGTTAGTCCCAGGGCATATGCTTAATGTAAAGGGCTGGATAGAGTGAGCATTATGTACTCAATACATTACCATGCCCATTTGCTCAAAGGCAAGCTGACTAATTAGAGCAAGGAGAAGAAATCACACCACAGACATGGAGAGCCCACATAGGCTCCAGAACAAGACTAAATTGGGGATTTCACTTGCTTGGCCATAAAACATCAGGGCCACAAAGTCAGAGGTCCTGTGCCCAAGGCAAGGCCCATCAGTTACTATAGGAGAGTATGGAAAAGGCCTACTCTCCATGCAGCTACCATATTGCTTATGATATCCTTAGCAAGTGGATACATAGGCACTTGGAAGTGCCTCTGGTCCTTCTAGCCACTGTCTTCAGCACTGCATCCAAAAATGTCCACAATATGGATAGAATCTATCTGATATTGACATCTGCTCTTCCGTCAATGGGGGAATAGATAACTGAGCAACCATGTCATGCTATTCCTTGCCAACTCACCAACATCGAGAATGGGCCCCTAGTTCTTAAAAGAGTCTGGTGGAAAGGCTCATTTCCATCCTTTAATTACAGGTTAAAGCAGGATGTAAAACCATTTTTGCCCAACTGTGTAAGAACCTATCCTTAGCTCATGCTTAAATTCACATGGTGTACTGGTTTACACTGTAAAGGTCTAGGGGTTTTCTTCTTTTGTGAGCATCAAAGACAACCAGCACCCATGCCTCTCCCTTGACCCTCAGAAGGCTTACAGAGGCATTCTGCCATTCTCTGCTCTGGGAGAGATTCCTATTTTCTTGATTTATGCTCACTTATGCTACATCTCATATCACAACCAATGATATGAGATGTAGAAGTATGTTGAATGACATCTCAAGGCTACCACAAGGCTTGCCTCTTGTCCCATCTCTTTTCCAGAGAGGAACACTGGGTTATCTGGCTACCTATCAGGACAAATTTCTTACAGCTTAAGAGTAGAGAGGAAATTTGAATTATTAGTCTCAGTGCATATCAATCACGGCTTAGCTCATAAAGCCAAGCTAGAAGAGCTGCCACAATGAGGCCTGGCCAGTGACTGGCTGATGTTACAGTGCACATAAGTGGTCATTTCATTCAAAATGGTCTATTTGTATCATCAAAGCAAAGCAAGGACCCAGAGAAGCATGCAAAAGAACTCACTTCTTCCTCTTCTATACCAGTCAGGTCCCAGAAGTAGCCCAATCGCATCTGTAATCTCTTCCAGTTTTCAAGAAACATGGTAGCTTAAAAGGAAAGAAAAAATTCTGTCAATTTTGAAGAATAGATTTTAACTACTCTTTGGTGGAAAAGAATAAACTTATAAAATTCAAATTTAGGAGTTTTCTTTAAATTTGTATTTCTTTCCTCCTACTTCTATCTGGAATGGCTCTAAATATTCCACATCCTTAAAAGCCGAGGAAACACTCACACACACACACATATCTTTCCCCACTTCTAGGTTATGAGAAGAGGGTAAACATGATCTCAAGAAGTGAGGAAGGGTGGCAGAATAAATAAAATAAGAATAAGTTTGTAGACATTTTCTGACAAACTTCATTTTGTCTATGAATACATTCATTCTTCATATATCTTCCTCAACACTCTCACTTTTTTTTCTCCATTTTTTTTTTGTCTCCAACACCACTTCCCTTCTGTGGGCCCTAATATTTGCATTCTGAGATTATGTAACAGTCCCCTAATAGTTTTTCCTAACTCCAGAGTCTCAGCCTCCCAACCCACCTTGCATGCAGCTGATAGATTAATCTCCCTTAAGTGACATTCATTCATCTATTTCTTAGCCAATATTTGTTGAATGCCTATTACATATACACATCAACTAGTCTGCCTGCCCCCTTGAAGGGCCAGCCAATGTGCTCCAGAAAGACCAACAACCTCTACTCCACAGCCATGGTCTATGATACCAGGATTGAGCTTCTGATCTAGAGCATGCCAATGGACCAGATTCCCACTTTTGAAAACTGAAACCAAAAAACATGAAGAGAAGCAGAAAAGGCATAAACCAAGCAGCACATAAAAGAATGAAAAGGGCCTGTGATTTCTGATAGCAACTCTAGCTCCAGTTCCCCAATGACCTGGCTATATTTCTTGCATCCATGAATTTGCTTCTTGCCTTATTAAAATAAATCTCTTGTTATTTGAGAGAACTTGAATGAATTTTTAATCGTAAAAAAAGAACTAGGCCCAGCTAAGGTATCTGCAACACAGAACAATGTTCTAGGCATCATGAAGGAGATGAGATGACTCTGGTGTGGATTTTGCTCTCAGGATGTTTACAGTCTATGTGGGGAGGTTTTAAATAACTACAATACAAGGCATACAGTGACTGGGTCTAAGAAGGATACAGATAAAATGCTATGGACATGCAGGAAAGGGATTACTAGCTGCCAGAGAAGGCATTTGAGCCGAGTCTTGAAGAGCAATAGCATTCAGGCAGTAAAGAAGATGTGGAGAGAGGAAGGATGCCCTATTCCCCCATTCCTTACCTCTACTGAAACTTTCAATGGCTATTTATGGCCTAAGTTCTCTCTGGATTCTGAAACCCTGTATATCTGGCCAGATTGACCTAAATCCATTCCCACCATTTATCAATGTACACCTTATGCCTGCATTGCTGCTGACACCATCTCCTCCCTGTCCTCTTCATTTCTAACTTGTGCAAATTGTCCCCTTGTCCTATACTACTAACCAATGTCTACCTTCATCCTTTCATGACCAGCTCAAGTCCCCACTTCTTTCATAAGATCAAACTCAAGGGTACCCACTCCTCCACACTCCTACTACCCTTAAGGTCTGCTGCCTGGAAAGGGAAGGGATATGGCCCTCCTTGGAGCCGCCCATACACCTCTACACATGATAAGAATCTGGGTGCCCTTCATTGTATGCTGCGCTGGACTGTTGGCTGCCATTCAGGTCTATAGTATAGTAATAGATTTGTAAACTTTCTTGACTTCTAGATGCCTGTTTACCTCGGGCACAGCACACAACTGAGCATAACAACCATGGACTGGTTAAATATACAATTATCATACTTAAAGCTTCATTTGCTTTACTTGGTACAATATGACAGTGCACTGATCTCTACGTTTTCTTCTAGGACTAGCGAATTTTTTCATGTAAGTGCATCCTGACCTCCCAACAGTGGCATCACCCTGGGGATGCAATGAGACCAAGAAGGATGTTACTCTTCTCAGTGCCTGAGGAAAATTCTGCAAGGTCCATGAAGGATAGAAGTCAGACAGTGGAAATCGGCAAGAGAAACAAAAGAGTCATTGAAAGATGAGCCATGATGACAAGGGAGGGCCAAACAAACACCGATGAAGAGCTGCTCAAACTTCCTGGTGCATATTATGTGCCAGGCACTGTGCTAAGTGCTTTGTACACATATCTCACTCACTAATCACAGAACATTATGGGACAGATATTACTTCACCCATTTTACAGATGAGAACAATGATTCTCAAGGGTTAAGTGTTGTGTCTCAGGTTACATTGGACCTTGGGTATTAACTTCAGCAACCCAATGCTAGATTCACATTAGATTGCTATGGGAGCCGCACATTAGCCAGTCCCCTAAGAAAAAAAAAAAAAAGAAAAAAAAAGAATTTATAAACCTTGTCCCTTTTCTTTTTAATAGGGCTTCAACCTTTTTCCAAAGTTCCCTGGAGTTTGAGGCCAGAACAGCAGAGAGGCTAGGCCCTAAGACTCCAACCAGGTTTCTCTGTCTAGTACCTTCCATGAACCCCCTATCTCAACAATCTGCTCTCCCACTCCACAATAGCCTGAGTCTCTTTCTGTGGAGAACCACTTTTTCTTCCCAGCTTTATTCTTGGCAGGCCTGGGCCCTGGCCCAGGCCCACCCAGCAAAGCACCACTGATCATAATAATCATGGTAACAAGAAGCATTATTATGATTTTTAATTGTAACATGTAGGCAATCATGCCCAGGGGCTCTTGGCTGCTGTTACTAAATATACAATCACATAAAACATAGCAAGGCTGTTAAAAAGACAAAACCAAACTCTACCTTTTGCCAGGAAGCTCTGACACAATCTCACCCTTTTTACTTTCCCTACACTACTATCTGAGAAGAAGAGAGAGGAGCCAGGGATGAGGGTAAAAAATTATTAGGCTCTCGGGAGGGGTGAGAGGTACTTGTTCATTACAGCTATTGAGAGAGAAGAGGCAGTTGTTGGGGCTTGAAAGTGGGCAAGTAAAAATGAAAACCAAGTTTCTCTACAACAAGGAATTAAGCAGCTCATCAAAGTTCTTAAGGATCATGGGCCCGGTGTTACTAAGCTACAGCTATTCGATCACCATAATAGCTACAAGACAAATCAATGGCATTAGGATTGCAACATATCAAAATATGAATGCACATTCTGAATTCCAAGTCCATTCAAGTGGATTTGCGAGTAATTACAATGATGCCCTTGCTGGATGAGGAGACAGAACTGCCTGACTTCCCAGGTAACAAATTTCAACTTCCGTCTGTTTTACTGACCATTCGTGTGAATATTTTCAGAGCTTTATGGTCACAAGTGCCTTTTCCTCCTACCTCAGTCTCATGAACTGACCACTGCCTGTATGTTCTGGTTTGCAGCTGTTTTCCCTGAGAGTAGAATGGCCCTGGAAGTTGTTGCTGATGGCCTAGGAATATGGAAATCTTTCTAGTCTGGTTCTATCTCCACCCAAGTAGTCTGTGATCCAATTGGGAAGCTAAGGGCTTGCATATCCATGATGAGTAAAAAGCAGGTGGCTACTCAAGATGGGCTGAAACATGTCGACTTAGTCTCTTTTTTTAATACACGTGGGTGTGCCTTCTTGGAAATGCTCAGTTACCACAAGGTTGTTATTCCAATTTATCCCAGTTTGTAAAAATACAAGTTTGTGTGTGTGAGTGTGTGTGTGTGTGTGTGTGTGTGTGTGTGTGTGTGGTGTCAGATGGCTATGGCCTAGAGAAAGTTTATTACCCTAATACTCTGGGATGGGCGGGACAGAAAGGAGGAGAAAGACAATGAAGGAAATCTTTGTTCTTTCCTTCACAAATCCCTTCACAAAGTGGAATACTGAAAACACCACTGTGGTATTAAGTAAAATCGCTACAGTCTATACTCATGGTATCCTAGAAATTACACTGAACCTGGAGTCAGGATACCAGGTATAGGCCCTTTACAACCAGCTAACACTGTGACCATGGACATGATCCCACCAATCTGCTATTATGGGCGATAGCTATGACCTTATATGTCTTAGATGTTCCTGGAGGTGCATTATGGCTGTGCTATGAATTTTTAAAATATTCACTGATTCAAATTTTGAATAAATCATACATGAGACTAATACAAGGTTACTATTTCTGTATTTTTAAATATATACATGATAATATCCCTAGTTCTATTTTTATATATAAGTAAAAGAGGTATACCTATTATCCCTAAGATACTTCTTGAGATACAAGGACTAAATGCTAAAGAAAACAAACTGAAGTATATGGCCATTAAAGCCTGGTCACTGTACCTATTTCAAGGTACTGCTCATATAAGTGAGTCTCATGATAACCACTTACCCCACAGAGCCATGAAGATGGAGAAGAAGACAGTGGCAGGATTGTCAAACAGGTGGCTGGCCCGCGCTGTACCACAGGCTGAGCTGAGGTTCCAGTAATCACAGGCCTTGTCACACAGGGGACACATGGTGAAGGCGTTCTGCTGGTCACACATCTCTTTGCTGCAGTAGACAGAGGCTACTGGGTCAGGTGGAGCTCACACAGGACCCACCCCCAAACAAATCACCCCCAAGACATCTCCCACTTCTGAATCCATGGCTGAGCTTATCAATGCCATATATGAGGTGTGTTAAAGAAGGGATTGGATTTTTCACTTTGAGAGTGTTATTCTTCTGTTTTGTCAAAAAAAATAGATGGGCCACCTTTTGAGGTATGGAGCCCACACCATTAGAAGTGCCCCAACAGAAAGTTAGTGATCATCTGTCAAAGATGTACACTGAAAGATGGCTTATAAAACCCCCTTCAAAATGTGTGGAGTGTATGAGGTTGATGGTCAGCACCAACAACTGTGAATAAATCACCCGCCTGAACTTAGATTTCATCATCATTCAAGCATAGACTGTCTTCTTAAACCTACAGGCTGTCTCTTAAATGTATGACACTGGTCACAAGCTCTTTCTTCTGGAAGAAGAAGCTATGTGAAGAATAGAGTCAGATCTGAATTGGAAGACTTTTTCTAAGTACATCTGCATTTGTAGAATGGGGATTAATAACCTCAACCTAATAAAAATTATCATGACCATGAAATGGGATTAGGGGAAATGAAAGAATGAGGTAATTTTTTCCAAAGTCTAGATTCTATGATCTTCAAGAGAGAAGCATGAGTCAAATAACCATCGCCTATATTCTAACTGATTCTCAGTACATTTCTATTTAATGGACTGATGAATATATTTGAAATTCCATTCCTTCATTAGGTGATTAGCTGAATCCAATGAACTTAGGCTCATATGAGTGCTTATAAATAAGAACCAAGGAACTACCAGCCCTAACTGGCCTCCTAATATCTCTCCACACCATATATTGGCAGGAAAAGTAATGAACTTATCGTGCTGGTGTGTGATAGTCCTCCTGGGGAATGGGTAGAAGGTTAGGCTTTTGGTTTAGAGGAAAATGATGGAGAACTCAAGATTTCATGAAAATGAAGCACTGGGGAGGTAGGGGACCCCACACTGGAAACCACAGCTGTTTTCTCCAGAAAGAGGCAGCAGAGGGAGCTACAGAGCATGGCTGGCAAGTGGAAGGCCACTGCCAGGGTGAATAAGCTGGTACTCTGTGTGTGTTAAACAACTGCTTAGCTTTAACCCAGAAGTCAAGGGATGCCTGGTTTTGGCTTCCTTTATTAAGAAGTCGAAGGATTTAACTGAGGGCTATCAATCTCTGTCAAATGCCAGCTTTCACGCTCGCTTTTAATGAGCTATTAAGTCCACAGCAGGGAAAGGCCCATGTGAGAGAATGGAAACTAGGTCTCTGAGGATAAACCTTGGTTCCTCCACTGACTTGCTGCTAAGCTTTCCACTGGCAAGTGTCAATAGCAGTGACTCATTCACATCCACAACATTAAAGAGTAACATCTTGTTAATAAGTTCGGCTGTGCTAGCTTCACCTGGGCATATTCTTTTTGTTCACTCGAGAGCCTGGTTTATTTCAAGTCTTCTGGGTTAGATAAGTGTTCGCTGTGTAGTTGAGAAGGAGCTGGCTGTTTTCAGAAAGGAGAGGACCCTCTTGGAAAACAAATTCACACAGAAAATTGTTGGTTTGTATAAATTCCAGTAAAGCGCTGTGCTTTGAAGCTGTGTCTGAAAACATCTGAGTAGGGACTTTGCTCTTTAGGGGATTTTTTTACACACAGGTTGTGGGGAGGGATAACCCTAGTCACCCTAATGTTAATCAAATCTAGTCAGTGCTAAGAGGTCAGGAATGAAAAAGTATTAGCAACCAACTTGGTGCAAAGCATTTTGAAACTTAAGTGCTATGTAAATTACTGGTTTTAAAATTAGAGTACAGTCAAGTATCAATCATTTGTATAAAATTACAGATACTCCCCATATCATTTAAATTGGAAGTCAGATGTTTTGTAGGTATTGATGGTTGTTTTTGGTTTTGGTTTTGAATGCAAGCAATTTGAACACAATTCTGAAAAAATTCTACCTCAGGGTAACAATCAAACGACTGAATTCTCTAGAAAAGCTGAAAGATGAGGGAAGCTCACCTAGAATTGAAATCATGTCTAGATTATTCACTGGTTGCATAATCTACAGATTGCTAGTTAGAAGTAACTGTGGCTATAAATCTACTAGTGTATTTCTTCAACCTATCATTTCTCTAGAAAGCATAGGTTAATGTAAAAACCCAGCGTGAGTGGTTTTCTCAATGAGTGACTCATGGCTCACAGGTTGGGTGGTACAGGACTGTGCTAGTAGAGAGGAGGTGCAATGAAGCAATTATTCAGACAGAACATCTGTTATTAAGGTTCAGACCTAAAGTAACCAATTTTTTTCCAATATGGTTTAGATTAATCAGCTTTTTAAAAATGCTCCAGTCTTTCTTACCCATGTAAGCAAATGCCTAACAAATGGAACCAATCCCTTGGTGAGCAGAGGAAAGTTCTATAGATGTATCATGCACATATGGAATTATTACTTACAAATGATACTTGTATCTCACATATCAAAGTTATTGGCAATAAAAGGTACCATTTAAAGTTCCATGTAATATAAATTTTCTGGTTTTGATTTTGTACTGTAGTTATAAAAGATATAACCATCAGGGGAAACTGGGGAAAGGGTAGATTGCATCTCTCAGTACTATCTTGGCAACTTCCTGAATCTACAATGTGTTCAAAATAAAAAGATTTTAAAAAGTGATACATAGGTAGTAACTTCCCAGCTTAATGCCAAAATTAGAAACCTCTGAAATAATCCCAGGAATAGTGCAAGTTTTTAATTATGCTTAGGAGTGGATGGTAGACACAAAGTCTGAAAAAAATGTGAATTTATTTAGATTTAGTATTGGGATTTGGAGGCCATTCCTTTGTTAATAGGAGTGATATTTTATGAGTTTCCATCAGGCCCACAGAGTTTGGACTTTTGATGGGTATACAATTCTGATTTAAGAACAGTGCTTTAAACAATTCTTCACAATATAATTAATTTTTTCTATCATTTATACCTTCTTGATTTGTCATGTCTTATCACGAATCTGAAAAAGTAACAATCAAAATTTCTATTTTTAAGAGTCAATTTCAAACTTTTTGACTATGACCTACAATTTTAAAGTCTTTTATATCATATTCCAGTAGGAAAAAATGTACATATCATCTTCTTATAAACATACTCATACAATACTTATACTTTCTTTTTGTGATGAATAATAATATTACACATCATTCTACTATATATCTTATCTTCTTCTAGTTCACTTAAAATATAACCATCAAATTGATTCCATAACTCACAAATGGGATGCTACCCATGGTTTTTAAAATATCATACACTCTGATAGGCATCTACAATGATAATAATCACATTTTACATGCCTACATATATGATATGTGCATGTGCGTGGATATATGTCTTTGCAGCATGTACAGATGATAGTCAATTCCAGCTACTCATTGTCATATGTATTCCCATATGGGCACGAGTTCTAAGTCCTGATGTAAACCAGCATACTGACAAGCCACCCATTATACTGGCATTGGTTCTTTAAGCACAGTATAGTTATTTCTAGTTTTGATCAACCTGGGGTTCAGCTCTCTAGGGATCACAACTGAGCAAGAGAAGCATGGAATCCGTGTTTTCTGAAAATGCATCAGACAAGGCTAGTTGAAGTTCTTGACTGCCAAGGGGAATATGAGCGCTCTGGAAGATTTCACAGCGTATTGGAAAAAGCAAGACTTTGGAGCAGCAGGAAGCCAAATCTCATCCCTGACAATTAGTAGTTGTTGAGGTTGAACAAGTTATATGACCTCATTTATCATCAATTTCTCCAACTCTTTTAGGCAAAAATAATAACTACCTTATATAGAGTATACAATGTTTATTTCTACAGCATCAAAGAAACTAGTGCCTAAAACCACCTAGCACCATGCCTGGCACAAGTCGTATTGGCTTTTCTGTGAACCCAGAGGGCAAAGAAGCACTACTTTTAAGTGCTTACTTTCTTTGTAGGCTTTCTCTTTCTCATAAGGACTAGACTTTGTTCCATTTTGTGGTTCTCCAAGAGCTCCACCATGGGAACTGTCACCACCTGTAGTTTCCGACTCCTGAACCAGAGGCCTTCTTCAGTTCCAGAGCTGCCTGCTTCTACAGTCTCACAGCATTTTATCCCAACAGTGTTTGACCGAAAGACATGTGATCTTTACCCAATACCACTCAATACTTCCTGCTTGGATCTTATGGGAAAATATGGGGGAGGAGAGATGAACCATGAAGGTAAGTGGGGGAAAGCATTTCTCAGGCACAATTTTTTCATCAGGCTTTATCCACCTGTCCAAATCAGACCTGGCTCTGGAGAAGAGCTTTACTAGGAAAGAATGTGGGTCACACCCAGCATGGCTATGAAGCCATTCCCAGAATCTGTAGCTCCCAGATCTGGCTCTGAAGAAAAGTTGTGTGTGTAATAAGGGAAGAAGAAGGATAGAGGGTGAGGACTTTGGAAGGAGATGTGTGAAATGTACTTGAAACTAAGATGAAAGTCCAAACTACTAACATGGGAATTTAGCCTTTTTCTTTAAAATCATCTTACCTGGGAATATCTTCCTCAATTGTTGCACATCCATAAAGAAACACAATCACACCAATTATAGAAGATGGGATGAGGAATGATGTATATAATCCCAGCCAAGCAAAATATAGTCCAATTTTTTCTCCAAAATACTTTCTGGAAAATAAGTTATAACACATTTTAAGAACAACATAGATGGAAAAAGCATCGTCCAGTGAAAATTAACAAAACAAAACAAAAACAAATAAACAAAAGAAGGACATCATATACTTGCCTCATTTCTGTTAGTTCTAAACCTGACAATGGGTCAGCATAAATAAAAAGGAATGGAAGTTACATGAGGAAAGGGGGACCTCAGTACAAGGTTTTTTGTGAAATGAATTACATTTCATTGGAATGACATATACACACCTATCCTGGCTGATCCTGTGAAATAGCTACAAGAAGGAATTCAGCCATAACAGCAAACAAAAAATATTTCATAAATTTTAGCATCTTCACCAGACAAACATGAATAACACATCATTTCATGAGTGCCATGAAACCCACAGAAAAATGCTTTTTGAAACTAGCTTATGTAAACAACACATGCAAATTATATGCTTGTATACATGTATGTACACAAATTAACATAAACATACTCACAGAAAAATGATTAGAATAAATTTGATAAAATAGTAGTAATATTTTCTTTGGCTAATAAAATTATGAGTTGTTTTTTATTTCTTTGGTTTTATATCTTTCTGATTTTTAATTTTCTACTTATTAATGAATTACTCTTATAATTTTAAAAATGATTTTTTGAAAAGAAAATTTACCAACTCATACCTTTTTTTATTCCCAGTTCATAAAGTTAGTAAATTATCACACTAAGACTCTAAAAAGTTTTTTCTTTAAATAAATATTGGTTATGGACACCTGATGAGAAAAATATAATCCACAGAGGAGCAGCGTATTTTATTTCTCAAGTGACTCTGACATAAAATCCAGGAGGGAAATGGGAGCTCAGCCTACTCTGTGATGGAAGCATGAAGAGTGAGAACAGTGAGCAGTCTCTTGATCCACTACCAGTGGGGCTGGTCTCAGTTAGGATGCAGACAACTGAGGGGAAATGTAGCATCCACCCTAATAACAAGAGAAATACGGATAATCTGTGAAATCAGAACATTTTTTGAACCGAGCAGAAAGTAGAAGCTGCAAGAAACCAGGTGAGCTAAATTTTAAAGAGAGAGAAGCCTCTCCAAGGAAAAGTGAGACATATAAACAGCTCCACATTTGGCAGAGCCTGCGAGGAGTGGTCTCCATAAGCATGAGTAAGAAGAAATAGAGAGAAAAATGTTAACTTCTGGAAGACTGAGTTTAGGTTAGCCTGACAGGTTAGAATAACTGGGAGCTCCAGATATGAGATGAGTTTGCACTCATTCCTAAGATCCTGTCCAACGACCACCACCCAGTAGTCATGAGGAGGATAATGGGCAAGTTAGGAAAATGGAGAGAGCTCCTTTAGTTCCACACACCCACAATAGCCCACCCATCTCCCAGGACCATTTCTCATTCAGATAAAAAACCTAAAGCACTGAATTACAAGGTCAGCAGTCTGCTACTGGGGAAGGGGAGCAGGGGCAAAAGGGACACCCCTCTGTGGTAAAGGGCTCCTGAAAACCGAGGGTTTCAGGAACAATGAGAACAAATTCTCAGCCCTCCATGGCCCACACAAACTATATGGTAACAGCGTCCCACGGAAAAAGAAATTTGAACTCTATGGTCCAGTGAAGGTGATGCTAACAATGGCAAAATCCAAACCTAGCTCATCTTCTGACTATATTGACTCCAATTATGTTTGGAAAAAAGAAACCCAAATGACTGATAAACATATTCAAAAAGGTGCTCAACTGCGTTAATCAGATCGCCAGATAAATTCAAATAAAATCACAATGCAAGACCTCTACATATTTGTGAGAATGGCAAAATGAGAAAGAAGAAAATACCAAGTGTTGGCCAAATGTGGAGAAACCAGGACACTCACTTGGTGTTGGTGGGATGTATATAGATTGAACCACTTAGGAAAAACTGCTTAGTGGTATCTACTACAACTCTACTCCTTAGTGGTATCCAACAACTCTACTCCTAAGTATATGCCAAATAAGAATGAATATGTGTGCATCAAAAGATATATACAAGAATATTCACAGCAGCACTATTTATAATAGCCTCAAGTTAGAAACTACCCAAATGCCTAGAAATAATAGAACTGATAAATATGTTGCGATATACTTGTCCATGAAAATGAACAAATTACAGGAATTCCCAACAATATGGACAAATATCACAAACATAATGCTGAACAAAAATAAGTCAGATGCTACATAATGTATATACTCTATTTATCTATATGAAGTTCAAAAACAAAATAACTGTGCTAGAAGTCCAGATAGTAGTTAGCCTTAGGAAGGCAGTGACTAGAAGGGAGTTAGTGGGGTTGAGGGGAGAGACCTTTGGGGTACTAATAATGTTTTTCTTTGATCTGGGTACTGGTTGTATGGGTGTGTTCACTTTACAAAAATTCAACAAGCTGTATATTTATTGTATGTACACCTTTGCGTATGTATAGCATACTTTCATTTTAAAATTGATTTTAAAAAGATACCATATGTGCTATAATCTGCAGGCCAGCAGATCCCCTGGAGATCATCTGTCTCCAAGTCAGACAGCATTTAATCCATGTCAGACATACATAGCTTTCAGGCCCAGTCTGTCACCAGACCTGAAGAGGAGTTTTCACCTGAATGAAGCACAAAGACCAGGCTAACAAAAGACAAGGCTTCCAGAGCACGGAGGCCAGCCCTGAAATGCAAGGTTGGCATTTGACCAGACAGCCCAAGGCAGTGATGGAGGCCAAAGGATGTCTGCACCATTCCCAAGTGATCAGGTCAGAAGTTGAGCAAGAGAAGATTAGCGTGGAGCAGACGTGCCAGCAGGGCATGTTCCACGGGAGCCGGCCCTGTCAGCTGGAGAAGGGAACTTCTGTTCTCAACTCCTGCCAGGCCCACATCACTTTCCTTCCTGGTCTCACAAAAAGCTGCCAGGCTTTCCTGGCCCCTCGGGGGATGGATTAAAGGCAAACAGACTTGGGTGCCCTTAGCAGCATTATGGGCAGGTGCCCAAAGGGAAAGTGCTGAGCCTTTAATTAAAGTTCACCATGGTTGATTCTCTGAAAGACAGCCTGGAATTTCCCAGCTACTGACAGAGCCAGGCAAGCCAGCAAAGGCTCTCCTGGGTAAAACCAGGAGATGGGGGTCAACGTGGGTGAAATAGTCAATTCAAGGCTCAAGCTCCCTAGCAGAATGGTCTCCTCCAACTGAAGGCTGTCCCCACCACCATTCCCTTTACAAGGTGGGTCCGGCTGAGGAAAACGTGTGTGCACCCTTCTGATGAGAGGAGAGGGAACTTCTGATCCCCGGGGCTGTCCCCTGGGAAATTCCTAGTTTAGACCTTTGAGCTCTGCACTGGTCAAAACCCCAATTTCATTTTCTCCTGCCATTCCCCATTTGGGCTTTGCTCCAATTTCTTGGCCTCTTATGTTCCTCATACACATCACATGTCCCACCTCAGGACCCTTGCTATGGCTGTGCCCTTGCCTGGAACACTCCTTCCTCCAACCTCACGCTCGCTCACTTCCTCAGCCTCTGCTCCAACATCACCTCCTCAGAAAGGCCTTCTTTAATCACCCCCCTCCCAAACGTCTCCTTACTTTTCACCTTGTTTCATTTCTTTTTCATAACACTTACCACTACCTGACATTGTTTTCTAAATGTGTTGATGTTTTTGTCCATTTCTGCTGCTAGAATGTAAGCTCCATGAGAGCAGACACTTTTTCTCTCCTATTCACCATTGTACCTAGAATATGCCTGAGACATAGCAGTGGCTTAATAAGCATTTGTTTAATGGATGGCTGAATCCTCATAATAATACCCCTAATGGGGTTTCTAGGCCTGTCCCTTTTCATGTAGAGGTTGAGCACAGCTCGGAGAAGTTGAGTAACTTGTGTAAAGTCACACAGCAAACCTGACAGAATTCAGACTCCAGTTCTGAGCTGCCTGATTTCAAGCCTATACGTTAACCATGTCATGTATCTCATAGGTCACAGAGTAGATGATTATGCAGATTTAAACCTCCCAGTTTGCGAAGTATTATGATTTGTTTTCAATTTTAGAAGAAAACTGAAAAGAACGCTATCAATCATCCAAAACTAAATTCTCCATTCAATGATTTACAAAATCCTATAATCCAGAAGCTCATTCACATCAAAAAGGCAGTCACAGCATGTGTTCCAATTTCTATTTGTTAAATAAGCAATACATAAAATGATTATTTAGACAGTTTCTGTTTATTAATGAGCAGCATGAGAGTTTCCAAGTACACATAAGATAGTGATTAGAGACACATGCTCATGGCTAGTCCCCTAATCATTTATCACTCAGTGGTTTTGGCCATTTTACATTGTTTTCATTTTCATTCTTAAATATTGTTTGGTGTTGCTTGAGTTTTGTTTGAGTTGTGTGTGTGTTTTTTTAACTCACAACCAATCTTTAAATAAAGATGGGAACATAAAGAACATCAGTGGTGAAATATAGGTGTCAATGAGAGCATAAAAATGGCATGAAAGAATTAGATAAATTTGCTTCAATGATATTCACACAGATCCATAAATGCACACAACTGATCAATTTATTATATGATGTATAAAGATATGTCATTATTTTTTTAAATGTTAAAAGGGGGGGGGGTTATTATATCCAATTGGCTCTTAGTTATTGGGAGTTTAAGATTGTCTCCAACTACTATGTATAATCAGCAGAAAAATCCTTGAAAATATAGCCTAAAACTTTTAGCTCATCATTTAGGAATGAAGGAGAAATATTAGCTAATAAACCAGCTAAACTCTTTTTTTTCTTAATCCTGATGATTTTTTAAAAAAATATATTTTATTGATTTTTTACAGAGAGGAAGAGAGAGGGATAGAAAGTTAGAAACATTGATGAGAGAGAATCATCGATCAGCTGCCTCTTGCACACCCCCTACTGGGATGTGCCCGCAACCAGGGTACATGCCCTTGACTGGAATCAAACCCGGGACCTTTCCGCAGTCCGATGCTC